AATTGAAATACGATAAAATAATTCGAGTAAGAAACCATAAAACAGAATCGCCACACAAAGTGTTCTAAAATTCCTCGTACGAATCAAGGAAGTTCCTCCAACCCCCCTTAGCCCCACGTTCCCCTCGCTTTGGAAACAACTCTCGTTTCAAATTGAAGTTACCACTGCTCCCAGTCCCTTATTCGTGAAGGAAACGCTGTTACAGTCCAGCGGTTATAAAGGGTTGAAAATTCTTCCAGTTAAACCGACAATTTTCCAGTTCTGCCACTGTTTTTATTATCATTTACCTCCCCGAAGGGACTGACTAATTAAAATTTAATGACAAGGATTTTCCATTCACGTCTTTTAAGTCCTCATAAATAATTCTTAGAAAACTGCAGATGATTTTGCTGTTTTAAGTAATTGTTGGAGGTTGTATATTAACGATTGGTGGTTACAGAAACGAATAAACACTTTTCATAGATTTACAGAATGAATAGAAAATATTAATAAGGTCATACTGGTCGCTTCGGCACCAGACAAACGACTAACAATCGTCGAATCGACATGGGCCAATAGAAATCGAGTATATCAGTCATGATCCAATAGGAATCAGGGATATCAGTATCGTACCATCCACGCGCGGTGCCTTAAGCACAATAGTAATTATGAATGTAGTTAAATCGTTCGTCGACCTTTTAATATTAATAAGATTATTGAAACAACTGAGAGACGCATATTAATTTGAAATACTATCGTTTTTAACCGAACGAAACAATAGTTTCTAATAATACTAACTCGTATCGGGTTATTCAGCGAATAAATCAACAAATTCCGCATACATTTCAATCACGCGTAGCCGGTGCGGTTCGCATGACTCGGCGGATGCGTCGAGCGAATTTTCGAAAAGGCTTTCGAAACGCTCGGTATCGGCCACTCGAAATCGCTTCGGAAACGATTATTGGACTGCTGGGTAAACAGCGGGCGCACACACGGGTCCCATAGGTGCTACTCCACTGTTCTCAACTTATTTGTCTATGCAAATGGTCAATCAACCGGCACTCGTACCTGTTTCGCTTCGAGCACGTCGACCGCTACTGTTTTTACTACCACCTTTCGCCCGCGGAACTCGCCCTTTGTCCTCCGCGGCCGGTCGGTTTAAAAAAATATCTGCTCTCGGTCCTCCGCGCGATCGGCCCTTTGACGACAAACGAATTCATGCCGCTGCGGTTACAAATGTTTTTTCAAATGCTTTTTGTCACGAAAATCGTTCCCATAGAACTTTTCTTATGTTTCAATGCACTCGGATCATCGAATTGTAGTGTTTAATAAAATGGATGCATTCTTTGTTTTATTAATTGTCTTCTGCAAAATCTGCGTCTGTATTTATAATTTGTATCACATAATCCTTCTTATTTAATGTTTATTATAAAACCTGAGCTAAAGAATAGCACAGAAAACTGAAGCAGCGTTTTAAACCTGCGTCATATAAAACGAAAGGGGGGTGGGCGGAAAAACCGAGGAAATTATTCTTTTGATACTTTTTATTTATTTACTGAATATTACTACGATTCAACGTTTTTATAAATAGACTGAAATCCCGCGCGGCGGCAGCGGCCGGGCTCGCTCGTTTTAACGCGTAAATATTTGACCGACGTTTAAACATGAATCCGTCCCGACCGTCCATCAAACGTTCGTAAATATCAATAACCCTTTCAATCCTTTTTAAATTGGGATTAATATTAAAATCGCTGTAATGAAAAGCGGCCCGATTTATTCCCGTTCAGGCATCCACAGAACGAGTACGAAATAAAATCGTATACGCAGATTATAATGCACCTGTAATTAATTACGCGTGCAGTTCATTTAGGAACGCATTTCTTTCGAGTTAAAACACTGCCAGTCTTAAAACAAAAGAAATTTATTTAAAATTTCAAGTTTGTCAAACAGAAATTCTGTTTAAAAGCTCCTAATTAAATATTGTCGTGCTTAAGGCACGATACGAAACTGATATCCTCGATTCCTATTGGCTCATCACTGATATCCCGGGTTCCTATTGGCCCACGTCGATCGGACGACTGTTAATCGGTATAAGCACCTCGCAGCAGTCTTATTAATATTTTCTATTCATTCTGTTTGAGTTGTGCAATTACATTCGCGATTTAGAGTAAATAAATGTAAAAGTAGGATTGAAAAGAAGCTTATAATGACATTAAACAAAAAATAAGCAAGCATTGCTGTCACCCATGTAGTGTTTTTGCTGCCAATTTATTAGCACGAAGTGCATTTCCAACAAATTCTGTAAACTCATAATAAAGTGTTTGTCC